AATTGTTGCAATGACTTGATACAATACTACATAAAGGAGGACAAAAGTCCCCACCAACAGCTCCAGTCATTTCAACAGCCTCCTGGGCATTCTTACCAGCTTTTTACCTCTGCTCACACAAGCCTGAGCAAGTGTCACGAGCTTGTAATTGCTTTTCTCCCCCCAACATACGACCTGACTGTATGCACTACTCGGGTATCTACCATTTTTGAGTAATATTTGATAGGCACTGTTTTTCTAATTTTTTCAGGCATGTCTATAAGCACATGGTGGGCTCTTGAGCGGGCGGGTTCCTGCTGGCCACCCACAGTGTGGTCTGCCTCCTGCCACCCTTTGTTCCACCCTTATATAGCAGGGTTGCTAGATGTAGCAGCCAAAACTACAGGGCACTTCCAAATTTTAAAGCTATTTTTTAGTAGAAGTATGTCCCATATAATAGTTCTTTTTCTTTTAAGATTTGTTTATTTGAAGGACAGATTTACAGAGACAGAGAAAGAAACACTGAAAAAGAGAAACTCTTCCATCTATTGCTCATTCATCAAATGGCCACACAATACCCAGGGCTTGGCCAGGCTGAGGCCAGGAGCCTCTTGGGGTCTCCAATATGAGTGGCAAAGACCCTAGTACTTGGGCCATCTTCCACTGCTTTCCCGGGTGCAGGAGCAGAGAGCTGGATCAGAAGTGGTACAGCCAGGACACAAACCAGTACCCTTATGGGATGCTGGTATCATAGCTGGTGCCATACCTGGTAGCTTACTTACCTCACCATGAGACGCTGACCCCGGTTCTTTGTTTTTCTGATACTGGAATTTGACTGGGTATTCTTTTATTTATCACACAACTATTCATAGGGCCAGTGTTGTGGCACAGTGGGTTAAACAATGTCTACAATATTGGCATCCTATATAAGCATGGAATCAAGTCCCAGCTGCTCTGCTTCCTATCCAGCTCCCTTCTAATGGCCTGGGAAAGTAGTGCAAGGTGTTTCAACTCCTTGTGCTCCTGGACCGACACAGGGCCTCAGCTGAAGCTCCAGGCTCCTGGCTCTGACCTGGTCCAGTCCTGGTCATTACAGCCTGGGAATATACCAGAAGATGTAAGATCTCTCTGTCTCACACTCTCTTTCTAACACTACATAAACAAATCTTTGAAAGTAGCTAGACACAGTTGGAATCCTATGATACACATTTCTTTGCATCTTCATGTTAAGATTCCGCAATTCCTTTCCCACCGAAGACAAACAAAGCAGCTTTTTCTTTACCAGCCGTGAGAGAGTCTGCGGTGTGAGTGTTCTTTCATCCTCTCTCTGTTTCCTAGGGAAGATGGGCCTTTAGCCTTTCTGTCCATACCTCCCAGACGCTCCTGGCTGGGCCAGGGAGCACACAGGGGACGCTGGGCCTTTTCTGTATTACCCTGCTTCAGCCTATGGCACCTGCAGCTCAAGGCTCACACTTGAATGGGGGGATGGGAGTCAGACAGCAGCATTCAAAGAGATTCCAGAAATCCTCCAGCTTGATGTCTGATGCACCTTTTCTCATCCCTTCTTTTAGGAGAGATGCCTGCAGCTAGCCTCCTTGAAAGGAAGACAAGTGAGGAATCGCAGGTAGATGGGGAATGAGAAGCTAGCCCGGCTCTGGAAGCTTTCCTGCTGCTTTAATGGCCTGGGTTTCATTCTTGGGACTTCAGATGGTTTCAATTTAACTTCTGCTGAGCAGAGACCTTGCTGTGAACAAGACCTACAGCCACCCAGGAGAGAACAAAATGAGTGATGGGGTCAGGAGAACAGTGCTCACGCGCGCGTTAAGCACACCAGGACGCCTGGTCCCTGAATAATAAAATCTCTCCCCCTCCTAGAAAGCTGCAGGTCCCCTTCTTTCATTTCCTCGTTAGAATATCAGCGCACGAGATGGCAGGGATGAGAACGCCAGGGTGACGGGAAGTCTTGAAGGCTTTAGGTACCGCAAACCGCTGCTGGGGAACCAGAGGGGCGCAGGTGTGCGACCCACTCACCTGCAAACCTTGCAAACCCGCTGAGTGTGAGGCCGCGAGCCTTTCTGCCTTTCTGGGAAGCCTCCTAGTGCACCAGCTCCTGTAGGGGTAGAGGCAGGCAAGGACGGAGTGGAAAGCTAGGAGTCCCAACCTTACTCCACTGGCTGTCCTGGCGCCCCCTAGTCTGTGCGGGACCCCAGGGTGGAGCATGCCGGGTAGCCTCACAAGGAGTGGAGAGGCACACAGGGCTAGGGCAGCGCTAGGTGGACGGGGAGGGCCACAGCATCATGTTCCCTGCACTCAGGGGAACGAATGGGGAGCGCGCAATGTGTTTCCAGCCAGTGCACCTTCCCGGATTACATTTGTAAGAAGGCCAGGTCCTGCCCACAGGATCCTCTGATTTGGCAGCTCCCAAGTTTGGGCACCTGCAAGTGGCGGCCGCGCGTCACAAAGGAGGCCCAGTGCTTGGCATTTAGCCTGGGCCAAAGCAGAGCGCAGATCCTCCCCCCGCGCTGGCGGAGTTGGTGGCATCGGAGCAGCTGCCACGGCGGCGGCGGAAGAGGCAGACCCGCTGCCGTCTCCGCAGCTCAAAGCTGGCGCAGCCGGAGGGGCGACGCAAGCAGGTAACCAGCCCCACGGCGAGGGGGCGTGGGGGGTCCAACCCTCCTGCTCTTGGAAGCTTGCGGTTGCAGGAGTTTCCCGGCCACTGCTTCCTTTCCTCTGTGTTTGACGACTAGGCGATAGGGAAAAACTGGCCTGGGTTCTAATCCCACCTCTCCCCAGGAAACCTTTAACCTTCCACATCTCGGTTTTCCCATTTGTCAGAGGCGTGGAATCCTGCCTTTCTGAGGAGGATTGTCACAGAAGGCACTTGACATATCAGCTCCCTAATGGCCACCTACACTATGCAGTGAGATTTTTTTTATCATGTGCCCAGCCCATTTCTGGTGTTTCCCACGTTGACACATCAGCTCCTTTAATCCTCCAATACTAGGAAAAAGACAGCCTAAGCCCTACCTACAGATGGGAGCACTGAGGCACAAAGGGAGGTCATTAACTTCTACGAAAAGATGGACTAGGATCCAGCATCCCAGACCACACTGCCTCTGCCTTGTGATTGGCTGGCCAGATGCTGCTTCCAGCCTTCAGTGTGCTTTGGGGGCTCCTTGCAGCCCACCAAGCAGAGCCACACTGTTCTAACCCCATCTCTTCCTCTTCAGCATTGCATGATCCTACTCGCTGGCCCTGACAAAGGATTCTGTTTAGTTGCACCACCGGGTTTAGCCTTTCTAGAAGTCCCGATGCCTGCCAAGGGCGTTGGCGGCCCCCCAGTGCCCGGTGAATTCCCCAGTGACTACAACATCTTCCTGCGTTCTCCCTACTTGGAACAAGAGTGAGGGTGCAGCCAGCCTCAGGACGTGTGGGCGGCTGCTCTGGTAGAGAAAAGCAAGACGCAGACTAAACTGTGGGTTGCACACACTGGTGAGAGAGAAGGAACCAGGCTGAATGTGGAGACGGTGACATATGCAAAATGTCCACATTGGAGATGGGAGGACCGGCTGGAGGCAGGGCTTGAAGTGCTACTGGGACAATGAGGATGGGTGGTGGCATAAGGTGGACAAGCAGACAAGGTCCCCACAGGAGCCTGCTGAGGATGCTCATTGCTACCATGGCATTGGCAGGAAGGGGAGGCAGCTTGGGGGCCATCACAAGAGAGGCAGGATTGAAGAAAGGCAGAGAAAAATCCCCACAGGTCCTGTTGAGTCGATAGACACAGTGGGAGGATAGATGTGATAGAACACACGTGACTGAATAGACACACACGTGTGGTGAGCATGTGTGCAAACAAAACCTTCACCCATGATGGCGTTGGAATGGTAATGACAGGAAGTAAATGAGGAGATCAACCCAGAGCAGTGGCTGCTACAAAGCAAGTCTGTCCTGAACTCAGAAATGGGATCAATGTCCCCAAGGCATCTGAGGGACAAGGGGCAGGGTACAGAGTCAGGGAGCTCCCCTCCTCACCTGGGCCCTGTTCTAAACCTGCTGGGTGACCATAGCAGGTATCTGCCCCTCTCTGGGCTTCAGGAGGCCAGCTGTAAAGAAATCATCCCCCCGGGGTTTGGCCAGCCCTGCCATGGTCAGAGCCATAATCAGTCGTGCTGGGCTCTTTGGGTCAAGTAGCCAACAGAAGCTTTGGGGAGGGCTTGGCCTTGTACGATGGGGGCCACAGGTGGAGCCCAGGAGGGCAGTGTGTACGCAGGGAATCCATGGCCATCAGCAAAACCATCAGCTGGGAGCCCCATGGATCCGGCTACTGTCACCTGCAATCCACAAGTTGAGTGAGAGAACTTCGCTGCCTCCCCAGTTCCACCTGCCCTGATTTACCAAGAAATCACCCTTCCTCAACCATGCCCCGCCAACCACCGTACCAGGACTCTGCCCTTGACCGCACCTCAAGACTGACATCATCATAGAACCTGGGACGCTTGGACCTTCCTAGCCCTTCATGACATCAGCTGAGGCTCCTCCCTGCTTCCCCTGCTGCTGTTTCCCTTGAGCATCAAGTCAGCCTTTGGCTAAGACATACAGAGGCCCTGATCCCAGGAATGGGGGGAACTGAGGGAACCCTTGAGGGAACCCTGGTCTCTAAGACATGGCCTTCTTGACATGGAAGCCATGTACCTCCTTCCTGGATCCAGCACCTCCATTCCTGGTCCACTTACAGGTTAAACTGCAGACACCAAACCATTCTTGGTTCCCTGGCTGTGACCATGTCCCACACATTCACAGTTCTGTGGCCCCGCAAGTGTGGGATACTGGAGCGCCCAGCCAACCTCGTGTGCCTTACAACTCCTACTCATCCCTCCAAACTCAGTTCAGATGCCCCTTCACTCGGTAGCCCTTTCTGCTTCCTTCTTACCCAGATAGACAGGGATCCCAGTCAACCATGCATGTGTGTGTGCGCTCTTTCTATCGTGCACATGCCTGGCCCTTCGCTTTCTTCCTTATCCTGTAATGAACGCTGGCCCACGTCCCTGGATGGACCACGAGGCACATCCCCACGGGTGTGGCTGGAAGGATGACAATCTCACAGCCACATGCTCTTGGCCATTGCAATGCTCCACAAAAAGAATTTGGGTGAATTGCATTTTCAGTTGAGAGGCAACAGCTCTTCCTTCCCTCTCCCCCATAGGAAACAAGTGATTGCTTTTCTTCCCTCATTTGTGGACGCCCTGCCCATTCCACAGCTTGCACCAGACAGCCCAGCCTGGGGTTCTGATGGATGCAGAGAACGAACGGGTACAGCTCCAAGACCAGTGCTCCTGGGCCGCTCTGCCTGATGTGTGTCTGCGCCGTGTCTTCTGGTGGCTGGGTGACAGGGACAGGTCCAGGGCGGCCCTTGTTTGCAGAAAGTGGAACCAGATCATGTATTCGGCTGACCTCTGGCGCTCCAGGACCATCACCTTCAGCGGGAGGCCCTCCCGGGTGCACGCCTCTGAGTTTGAATCTGCCCTTTGGTATGTGAAGAAATTCGGTCGCTACCTAGAACACCTAGAGATCAAATTCTTGAACCCTTACAATGCCGTCTTAACTAAGAAGTTCCAGGTCACCATGAGGGGCCTCCTGTCGTGTCTGGGCAAGAACAACAGCCGGCTGAAGTCGCTGTCCATTCAGCACCTAGAGCTGGACCGCCTGGTCTGGAGGACCAGCATCCGGGCCTCCTTCATCAAGAGCCTGAGCTTCTTCTTAAAGAAGATGGGAAGGCATCTGGATTACTTGAACCTGAAAGGTGCCAGGCTGACAGTAGAGCAAGGTTGCCACATACTCAACTCCCTGAGCTACCTAAGGAACAAGAATGCAGCCTCCGAGCTCAACATCGAAGACTTCTTCAGCCACCACCTGGCAGTCTACAGCAGCCCCCAGTTCCACAAGACCATGGCCATGTTCCACAACCTGGAGTCCCTGACGCTCAACTACAACTGCATCTCCGATGAGCTGCTCGAGTCACTGTGTGATAACAACGCCGGCACCCTGTGGACCCTCAACATCAAGTGTCACATTCATGATCCCCACGGGCAGGTCATCTGGGGCATGTCCTGGGGCAGACTGGCTGGCCAGGCCCCCAATCTGAAGGTGAACTTCTTCTTTGAGCGGGTCATGAAGTATGAGCGCTTGGCCCGGATCCTCTTGCAGGAGATCCCCGTGAGGAGCATCAGCCTGAGAAGCTGTTACTTCAGCGACCCCGACTGGTCCATGCGGCCCACTCTGACGGAGCTGCTGCCCACCTTCCGGAACACCCTACAGGTGGGCAGAGAGGGAGGGATGCGGGGACCCGCCAGCCCACACACTCACTCAACCCTGACTGGAAATGCTAGGAGATAACACTACGCTAAAACAGCCTCCCTCCACCCTGTAAGATCACAGCAAATGGCAAACACTGCTGCCCACTGCTGCCTAGAGGGGTAATGGGGATTTTCCTGGTGGCTGTCAGCCAAGGTGCAGGCATATAGGCCTGGTGCAGAGAGCAGCCTCTTCCTGCTCTACCACAGGGTCATGGCAGTGCCAGGGAGACCCTGTGGCTCCTGTCATTGGCCCTAAGCCAGGGACCCATCTGATTACAGCAGAGCCTGGAAATGGGGAGACAGAATGGAGATGAACAAACTGAACAAAATTTGTCAATCTGCACTAGAGTTACTGAAGAGCTGAGAGACTCCAGATTGTTCCCTCATCTGGCAGCTTTGTTGTCAATAAAATCAGAACCATTTGACCCTTGGAAGGACTCGGAAGTGTTGGTAGCAGTTGTTATGAAAAGGGATAAATAATCTACAACTAACATAGATGGCTATAGGGCACTAAAAGTTTGGGGAGTATTCATATGGGCCTCTGCCCCATGGAGGCAGGCAAGGCAGACATACAGTGACCAGTGACCCCAACAGGAGAACTTGGGGTCTATAGCTACTCATGGTAGGCAAGCCAATTCATTGCAGGGCCATGGTATGCACCTGCTTCCAGATTCCCAGTTTCACAAACTGGAGGAAACCACCAGCATACTTGATGCAGGGGGACAAGGATCAGTGCTACCTCCAAGAACCCCAAGCTCATTCTCATAAAGCCAGGTCCCGGGAATGTCCTGGACCGGCCCAGCCACTCCTGGCACCACTGCCCACCCACTCCTTCCTCTCCTGTGTTTTTATAGAAACTAACCTTCGAGTTCAACAACAACCACGAGTCCCTGGACGAGGAGCTGCACCTCCTCATCCTATCCTGCCGGAAGCTGTTTTACTTCAAAATCTGGGCTTTCCTTGATGTCAGGTTTGTGGAGCGGATTCTGAAGAGCCAGGAGGAAGGGCAATGTGCCCTACGCACACTCAAGGTGAGGGCCCCACCAACAGCTGGGCTGTCCAAGGAGAAAGGCATGGAGAGGGGCTGGGGAAACCTGCCCGTTGGCCATGCCCAGTTTTGCAGGAGGGAATTGGTGGCTGCCTTTCTTAGTGAGGTCATTCTCCATAGCCATGGTTCTGTCTCCCTGGGTTCAGAAATGTGACTGTGCCGGGTCCTTACAGACTAACAGTAGAGCGAGCATGGCACAGCACTTGCATTGTAGGTCATCTAGAGATGAGTTCAAGTGCAGGCTGATATGCATAGATCAAACGCCTATCCCATGTCATTTGTCTTAAGAGACTTGTGTCACCTGCAAGTGTGGGACCCTGTGAAGGTTCTGGAACAATCCCTCCTGCAAATGCTACCGACAAGGCTCCACGTGGAGGTCAGTGGGGTCCTAACTAACATAGCCTCCATGGGTGTGACATGTGTTTTCTGGTTCAGGTGAGAATTTATACGAACAGATACGAGACGAACGAAGAGGACAGGACTCTGCGGGAAATTTACAGGAAGTACAGAAAGCTGATTGACTCAGAGCTGAACTATTTTGTCATCGCTTACCCCATGATGTAATGAGCATTCTCCAGAGGAACAAAACTTTGGCCTTGAAAAATCATTTCTCATCCCACTGTACCCAAGGAACCCTGTCCCGTCCCAGCCCCCTTTGCCAACATGAGCTGCCCACCAAGGCTGGTGCTGCTGATGCTGTTGAGACCCCAGGAGGTCTGAAGGTGCTGTGTTTACCTTTCTCTGGTTGTCACGTGGTTGTGCCGCAATGCAGAGAACACCAGGCCACTCACGGTGGTTCCTCATGCAGGGACCCTGCCCCCTGCTTACTCGTTCCCACCAACCTATGTAAGGGAGCAGCTATGCCAGCTGGCTGCTGAGCCACGTGATTGCCTTAGAACTGCTGGAGAAGCCAGCTGAACTTGGTGTTAGGGTATTTGCGTGTTGACATGGTCGGGTGGCACATGCTTGGGAGCCCGCCAGCCCCACCCTGGCAAAGGACCAAGCCGGGGTGTCCCCAGTGTCATCAGGAACCTGTTCGGAGCCAGAACTCCTACAGAGAGAGCTAGACTCCTGGCCCATTGGCCTCCGGGCTGTCCTGCCTCAGCTTTGCACGTGTGTGAGCCTCTCTTCCTAACGGGGGCTGCATTGGGCCCAGCCTGATGTGAGCACTCAGTCCCCAGGAAGCGGCCACTGCACATACTGACTGTTAGACAAATGTTCCCAATCTCATGTTAAGTGGCGCAAAAACACAGCACCCAAAACTATTTTCTGCGAGCTCATTCAGATAAAACAGAAACAAACACAAAAGTGACACACACTAAATATGTTATGACCATCACTGGGTGGTGAGATTATAAGTGGCTCTTAATGTCCTGTTTCTGCTTTTTCATATTTCTCCATTTTTCTACACTGACCTTATTTTAGTTTTGCAATTAAGGAAAAGGGCATTGTTTTAGGGGAGAAGGAATTATTGTCAATTCCTGGACCCTTGCTATTGGCTTTGTTGCTGCTGGTCCTTTGAGTTTTTTTTTTTTTCCCATGCAAAAAGCAAATTTTACAAGACAAAGGGAGATAGATTTTCCTTCTGATTCACTCCCCAAATGGCCACAATAGCTAGAGCTGAACCAATCTGAAGCCAGGAGCCAGGACCTTGGAGCCTCTTCCAGGTCTCCCACAAAGGTACAGGGTCCCAAGGCTTTGGGCCATCCTCAGCTGTTCTCCCAGGCCACAAGCAGGGAGCTGAACAGGGAAGCAGAACAGCCAGAACACAAACTAGTGCCCATGTGGTGTGCTGGTGCCGTACGGGACAGAGGATGAGCTTCTGCGCCACCATGTGAAATTTTTGAAAACACAGTTACATTCAGTTCTCTTTCTCAAAAGCCACAGGGTACCTTCCAGTGAACGTTTGCTCATGCTGTCTTCTGTGTGCTGCAGCCATCATGTTTTTAATCTTTCCATGTTTGTCGAGTGCTTTTCGATATCCAACGCCTTTCCCATCCACTGACTTAGCCACCTCTCCCTCTGCTGCTGCTGCTCAGACACGGTGTGTGTGCCACCCTGGATCAGAGAAGACCAGTCCAGCCAAGGCCACGGACCTTCCAGCACATGGAGCTCCTGGGTCTGATGGGAGAAGGTGGCTTTCAGGACCCTAACACACTGCAAACCGCAGGGCCCTGGTGAGCAGGGTGATGCTGTGTGCACCAGAAGGGAGGAGACGTGCCTGATGTCACAGCACATCCCCACGCCCATCTAGCGAAAGGACAGCATGTGCTCTTTCAGAGGAACACGTACAGATGATACCATTGTCATTCTTAAAAACTATGGTGTATTGGGTTAAGCTTCCACCTGCAGTGGCAATGCCACCATTACATCTGAGCACCTGTTGGAGTCCCGGCTGCTCTGTTTCCCATCCAGCTCCCTGCTAATGCACTTGGGAAAACAGCGGAGGATAACCACGTGCTGGGGCCTTTGCCACCCCCGTGAGAGACCTGAATGGAGTTCCAGGCTCCTGGCTTCAGATTGGTTCAGCTAGGGCCATTGAAGCCATTTGCAGAGTGAAGCAGTGGATGGAAGACTTCTCTCTCTCCCTCTCTCTTTTTTTGCCCTCTGCCTGCCTTACAACTCTGCCTTTCAAATAAACACATATTTAAGAATGAAATAGAATGAAATCCATGTGTAGTAACAGTAAGGGTTGGGCTGGGCAGAGTCCCAGGGATCTGCCCTCCCACTTCTGTGAGCATCTTTAAGAACTGAGCAGTCCTCTCCACTGCCTCTCCCGCCGCTCGGGTCTCCGGAATTAGGCAAGCTAAGGCTCCCTGGCCCCATCCCAGCCTAGGCAGCCCGCTGCGAAAGCAGTCCTGGCAGGTGGGAGCCAGAAACGCCCTCTCATTGGCCACTCTTGCCCTCCGAGCCAGCAGGTTGCCGAGGAAACTGAACAACCAACTCCATGGGCCGAGTGCCAATGGGCCAAGTCTGGCCTCGCCTCCAGCCTCTGATTGGCCAAAGCGCCTACGCCCCTCACACCGGGGAAGATCGCCTGTGAATGGACTGAGTGGACCCTCGCCCGAGGTCCACAAGCCGCCGTGCATTCCACCTGGGTCTGCCCGGCCTTGCACGGTCTGAGCCCAGTTCACCTCGCCCAGCTCCGTTTGTTCCCCTTTTCCTTGTCTCCAGCCTCATTGACCCTGGCTTTTGCTTCATCCGGTTTCCACCAGGGCACTTATTCACTATCTGAGTGGCCTTGAACTTGACATGTTCTGCTACCTCTGAACTGAAGAAGAGGTGGGAGAGCTCTGCCTTACGCCCCACTGGTATCAGCACCCAGAGGAAGCCAGGTAACTATTTGCTGTGTGAATGAATCCTCCTGCCCCCTGCCACACACACCACAGCCACAAGTTAAAAAGAAAGTAAAAATTTTGAAAAGCAAGTCACCTTAAAAAGAAAAATACAAAGCCTAGCACGGTGGCCTAGCAGCTAAAGTCCTCACCTTGAATGTGCCAGCATCCCATATGGGCACCGGTTCTAATCCTGGCAGTCCCGCTTCCATTCCAGCTTCCTACCTGTGGCCTCGAAAAGCAGTCAAGGATGAGTCAAACCTTTGGAACCCTGCACCCACATGGGAGACCCGGAAGAAACTCCTGGCTCCTGGCCTCAGATCGGCTCAGCTCTAGCCATTGTGGTCACTTGGGGAGTGAATCATTGGATGGAGGATCTTCCTCTCTGTCTTTCCTCCTTTCTGTATATCTGACTTTCAAAAAAACAAACAAAAAAACTCTTTAAAAAAATATAGTCTGGGCCCAGCGCGGTGGTGCAAGTGGTTAAAGGTCCTCATCTTGCACGCCCGGGATCCCATATGGGCGCCGGTTCTAATCCCGGCAGCCCTGCTTCCCATCCAGCTCCCTGCCTGTGGCCCGGGAAAGCAGTCGAGGACAGCCCAAAGCTTTGGGACCCTGCACCTGCGTGGGAGACCTGGAAGAGGCTCCTGGCTTGGGATCGGCATAGTATCGGCCCGTTGCGCTCACTTGGGGAGTGAATCATCGGACGGAAGATCTTCCTCTCTGTTTCTCCTCTCTGTATATCCGCCTTTCCAATAAAAAATAATAAAAATAAATCTTTTATATATATATATATATATATATATATATATATATATATATATATAGTCTGAGGGGGAAAGAGAAGAGAAAGAAGCAACTCTCTGGCCAGCTGAGCAGCTTGCAGGTGCACACCTGGGCTCTGACACAGGGCGAGGTCTGGGAGCGTCTCTGCCCCAGAGGCCACAGGCTCAGCTTCCCTTCCTGTTGCTGGGAAGTCTGGAGTTCCCGGTCTGTCGGCTCTGCTTCAGGGACCCTAGGGATTGGCACTGATGTTTGCGTGCCTCTTGGCGTGGTCTCACGCTCCCCAGTAGCTGCTGTGGCTCCAAGCACCTCAGCCAAGGACAAGGGACAGAAAGGGACAGGACTAGGGATGGAAGTATTTTCCAGAAATTTTCTGGTGCCTTATGGGTTCTCCTCATGTCCAGAATTGAGGCTCACAGTCACCCCCTATCTGTCAAGGGCGTGAATTGAGCTCGTTCTAGGAGCTCTCTAGGAAACTGGGTATGGGGGAGACTGGGCAGGGCTGTCAGGCTGGTCAGGAGTGAAACAGAACCTGTCTCCTCCATCCCTCCAGGGCATGGGAGTCTGCAGGTTCTCCAGGGACCTCACCCCTTTGGGGCTAACAGGAAGAAGCCCCAAAACCACAGTCAGGGCTAACACACGCCCACAAATGCGGAGTGATCAGGAAACTCATAAACCAAATCAGCTTCCAGTGCAGACTTCATCATCGCCCAGCCACTTCCTTGGCACACTTGGGCAGCTGGCTCACTGACTGGGATGCCTCAGCGTGCATCACAGTGAGCCACCTGCCCCTTTGTGACGTAAGAGGCAGAGAACACAGAAGTCGTCCCAGGAAAGGACAAAGAGCTCACAGTCTCGGGTTGACTTGGAGAGTGTCAAGTCAGTCCCTAAATCTGACACTGAGTTACTGCCAACAAGTGAGTGGCTGTGCCTCAGTTTCCCCACATGATATGTCTCTTTACTCCTACACAGTGCACGTACTGGTTTTAGGAGCACACGTGCTGCAGCCAGCCAGGTTGACATGGGTGTGAGTCCTGCCTCGCCAAATAAGTGTTTAGATTATGCCCTTGTAAGCACTCAGCCACGTTGATGGTTGAGCTATTCATCAACAGTACACCTGCCTCACGGGCCACATCAAGTCCTCCTATGTTGGGATACCTCTTATAGGCAATGACTCAGGGCCAAAGCTTCCCTGCTCTAAGAACGGATTCAGCTCTTCAAGATTCCTTGCTTTGTGTGTCTCCTGGACTGCCACCTGGCACACCTCCTTCCTTGGCACTAAGCAAGTGTCTACTTCTCCATCTAGACACCCCTTGGGGTCAGCCCTGTTCCCACTTTCCCCTCCAAGCCCACTTCTCTAGACAGGCAGATGTGGCCAGTGAGTTAGGACTCTGCAGTGGGTAGGAGTTAGGGAGCAGAGAGGGAATGTGGCAGAACTGGCCATTTGGACAATGAACCAGCAGGTGGAAGAGTGTGTGCGCTCGCTCGCTCTCTGACAAATAAATCAATCTCAGAAAATAAAGAGATAGAACAAATCAGAAAATACTCTTTAAAAAAGAGCAGGGGCGCTGGCACAATAGTTCAACTGGCTAGTCTTCCATCTGCAAGTATGAGGATCCCATATGGACACTGCTTTACATCCCAGCTGCTCCACTTCCCATCCAGCTTCCTGCTTGTGATGTGGGAAAGCAGTAGAGGATGGCCCAAAGCCTTGGGACCCTGCACCCATTTGGGAAACTCAGAAAGAAGTTCCTGGCTTCAGATCACCTCCGCTCCAGCCATTGCAGCCATTTGGGGACTGAACCAGTGGATGGAAGATCTTTGTCTCTGCTTCAATCTGCCATTCCAATAAAAATTAAACCTTTTTTTTTTTTTTAAAGTATTGTATAGAGGCCATCACAACAGTCACCAATGAGACTTCAAGATTTGGACAGCAGCTGGGGCCATTGCTTCGCTCCTTCTTCTCTGGACGTCAGCTGCCCTTACCGTACATAATGGCAGTTGGCATGGCCACCATAATTGCTACCTCGGGATGGCCTGAGGATGTGGCAGGACAGGCAAAGCCACAGTGGCACCGAATCAAGACAGCAGGAGAGCTGGGCCTGGGGGAATGAGGAGCTCCTTTTCAAGGGGGAGCCCACAGAGAACAGCCCCCCTTCCCCAGCTGCTCTGATGCCATGGGACCCATTACATGTGGGGGAAGCAGCTCAAGGAAACTCATGTACAAAGGCCAGCGCCAAGCCCAAGTTTCTAAGGCTGTTCTCCAATGGTGATATATGTTCAGGGGACAAGCCAAGGAAAAGATTTGATCCAGTCATGACCGTAGTGCTGGTCCGAGCAGCCACGCCCACTGACCTGCTAAACACGGACACGCAGGATAGACTTGTCATGCTCACGGGACTGAGGTCTGTGCTGAGCAAGGGACTGAGGCAAGTGGTACAACTCTGCCTCTGCTTCCCTCGTGTCTTCATGTATACCGGGATGAACAACACTTCGGTGGTCAGCTCCCTACAGTGTGCAGCTGGCTTTTCTTTCTTTGTATATAAAGGAGTTATTTATTTCTCAGTCCTTGCAGGTGGCTGGGAGCTACCCAGACCAGGTCAAGTTACGGTACCTGTTGCAAGCCGCATCTGTATGTACTGGTCACATGCCCTACCCAAAATGGCGCCGGCCAGAGAAGCCACACCTTCGTGCCTGGTGGAGAGTCACGTAGCCTTCGCGGTACTGCGCAGGCGCCTAGCGCATGCGCAGTGAGCTGCGGCGTGGCCGGTACGTGAACACTGGGGACTGACGAATCCAGTCGCCCAGGACCCTGCGTGATCATGACGCCGACCTATCATCGGCAGAGGCGGAGCCAGTCAGCACATAAGAGCAGACAGCCTGCCGGGTTCGGGCGCAGAAGGCTTCACTCGCATCTGCCTCTTATTGCGGGGCGATAAGACACGTGGGCACGACAGGTACCCCCAGCACATGTGGGGGTCAGGACGTCTGGGGGCAGGCTATGAACAGGCTAAGCCAGTTCATAACACCCACTGGCAAATCTGAGAACCAGGATAGGATGTAGAATAGGCTGGGTCAGGCTGCAGAACCAGCCAGTTCACATCAGGGCTGGGACGGGCTGGCTGGACTGGACTGGGCTAGGCTCCAGTACCCACCAGCATGAGTTAGAACCAGTGGCAGACCAGGCCGGGCCAGGCTACAGCACCTGCTGGCAAATGCCGAGGTGAGGGCCATTGCAGATTGGGTCATATCACCCACCAACACAATGAGACCTGGGGGATAAGGGATGCAAGCTCTGTAGGTGGGCTACAGGGGGCTCCTCTGCATATGATGTAATGCAGGAGGGACAGTTCACGCTTGGGTAACTTACCTCATGGTGGTGGTACTCCAGGAACCACAGGAAGGTTACTGGCTCACTTAATGACTGCCTGGGAAACACTTAGCTTTGTTATTAGTTATCTAAACATTAACTCTGAAAAAATGTTCTAGAAAGCTTTAGAAAACAAGGCAGGAGGGACTATTGGAATAGGTCCATCCCACCTGGTAGATCTAGCCTTCTAATGTGGTAGAAAGGTGGAACAGGCCACAATTCTTGTCCAAACAGCAGCACCGAAGAGTAGGAGGAGAAAAAAAGAAGTGGTTTTAGACTCTGATAAGCAAGGCCTCACAGATAGAACCATGGTGGCTCTTCAGTCGTTGCTATAATCACTGTTCTCTTCTAAGTTTACCCTGGAATACTACAGAAGGCTCCCTCAGAAACAGAGTGAAAATAGTCAATCACGACCCTGTGACACTCGTTCTGGGTTTTTCCTTGACCCTTACAATGAACACTACAGGACCTGCTTTGAAATGTCATGAACCACTTAGCAACACCTTGATCAAGCAACTTCTGAGTTTTTTTCACTCTTCAAGTTCCATCATCTGACAAGTTTTATATCAGTACTGGAATGATTGAATTCAAACTCCCCAGAGACCACAGAGGTCTTCCTCCTAGCTGGCCGGACCCAACAAAGTACTCCTGACTGTAGGTACAAACCCTGCTCGGTGCACCTGAGCGCTTACGCAGGTTGCCACAAGTTCAACAATGTCATGTGGAAACACAACATGAGAATGCCACCTCTCTGGAGATGCCCTGACCAGTCACTGACCCGTGGTGTCACCCAGGCCTTAAAGATTTACCAAAGGACTCTGTACTTGATGAATGATGGATCTGGAGGTCGTGGTGACCCCTCAGGACATCTGCTCATTTGTGGAGGTCATGAAGAGACACCCTGGACTTACGAAAGCCTTAACGGCTGACAGCTGGGAGACTCTGTTCCATCATCTGACTGTCCCTGTCTCCTCATGGAAGCCTGATAAAACCAGGCACTGCACTACCTCTTTAAAACTCTTCTAGAGTAACTGTAGATTCAAGAGTCCCTGGCTAGGTTGTTTCAGACAACCGGATAGACTGCATTCCAGCGGGCAGAGGATGGGGAAAGAGGGGGGATGTGTGGTGGGCAATTCTCCCTGCTGTGCTTACAGTAACCACATTCTAGGTGTAGCTGAGTGCTCATGAAGCTAGGGGACAGAGAACCTGGCTATGACAGACTAGATCCTCAAAACCCCTTCCCCCCAAGAGTTGGAGACTGGTTTTCAAGTTTATTTTTCCATCTGGAATCAGGTCTACCCTTAAAATTAGCATTAACGCTTTTAAATGCTATTGGGAATTAATATAGGATTTAAAGTCATCATGTGATATGCAAATATCTAAGTTAACAAACATCTTTGACTTGCTCCCCCTTGAGGGAGAAACTGAAGGAGGTTAACTTCACATGTCAAAATTATCCATTCTTTTTTTTTTTTTAAAGAAAAGTATTTATTTTATTGGAAAGGAAGATCAGATTAACATAGAAGAGAGGCAGCGAGAAAGATCTTCCAACTGCCAGAGTTGAGCTGATCTGAAGCCAGGAGTCAGGAGCTTCTTCCAGGTCTCCCACATGGGTGCAGAGTCCAAGGCCTTGGGCCGTCCTCGACTGCTTTCCCAGGCCACAAGCAGGGAGCTGGATGGGAAGTGGAGCTGCCGGGATACGAACTGGCACCCATATGGGATCGCGGCACTTGCACAGCAGACGATGAGCCATTGCGCCATCACACCAGGTCCTAAAAGTTGTCATTCTAATAATCCCCTACTCGACCTCAAATAAGTAGGACTTAGCTAGAATGGAGTCAACACCCCTAGTCCATGGATATGGGAGGAAAAACTGACAGTGGGGAATTACTTTAAGACTTCTGTGTTTGAAAGACAGGGGAGGACAGATCTTCACTTCCTAGTTTATTCCTAAATGGGCCAGGAGCCTCCTCATCCCTCGTGGGTGGCAAAGGCCCAAGTACCTGGGCCATCTTCCACTGCTTTCCCAGGTGTATTAGCAGGGAGCTGGATCCGAAATGTAATGTCTAGGACTGAAACGGGCACTCCCATAGGATGCTGGTGTTGTGGGTGAGGACTCAATCCACTTTGCCAAACACGGTCAAGGAAATCTGTAACCCTAATGAGGGCATCTTTCCTTCCCTTTTCACACCCTGGCATGCATGGACCAGCTGCTGGTGTGGAGAATCACCTGGGATTCTTGGGGTCTACTGAGAGGTAGACGGCCCAGCAGGGCAGACCCAGCGGAAGTACACAGCGAGCAGTGGTGGGCAGCTGAGTGTCATGGTCAGGACACCTCCACCTGGCTGACGCCCAGCGTCTCCCAGATGGACCACCGTGGTTGGGACAGAACCTGGACACCTGCTCAACCTTCAATTGACTGGACTCTGAATGCTACCAGCAGCTAACCTTTCCCTTTAAAAAATCAAAACAAAACCGCTCTCTGCTGGCTTGGTGGGAGGGAAAGGGGCACGTTTGGGATCCACGAGACTGCCAGCTTCTTGAAACAGAACCAGGCGGGCACAGGCAGGGTAGTGGAGGCATCTAATTCCGACTGAAGCGCCTCGAGCCCCTCTCCCAAGTCTGTGATGGCCGAGCTAACCCATAGAACCTAACCGATGCGCAACCATCGCCCCCAGCTGCAGGAGCAGAGCCTCAACCCGGATCGCGGGTCTGCACAGAGTCCTGGCCCAGCTCTTGCGGGAGGTTGAACAGCTCTGCCCGGCCCCTCAGCCTGCCTGCCCCCTTTTCCCCAGGAGTTGAGTCCTAGGCGTTTCTTCTGTAAGGCGTGCGTTTAATGAGAATCCGCCCCTCCACTACCACTAGCAGACAGCATCAGGGCGCAGGCCGCCCGCCCAGTCCCTGCGGTCCTCGCCATCCCGCAGCGGGATGGACTGGCGCATCTGCATACACAGCACCTCGTCGATGTAGATGGTGTTTTCTTTCACCTGGATCTCCTCCTGCAGGGCTAACTGTCTGCGATTCAGCCCTTTCAGCTCCACCTGGGCTTGGGCCAAGGTCTCCTTTAACCTGGGAGAGAAAGGACGACGACATGGGCAATTAATCGTTTCTGTCAGCGTCACTTCCTCAAGGAGAGCAGGGTGCCTGGTACTCAGGGAGGAAGTCTAACAGACACGTACTATGTCCTCCAAACACTGATTTTCAGACTGGCGCCCTGGGCCAGAGATCTCCACAAAATGGCAATACTTAAAACGGCAGGTAACAGGGCACAGCGCAGTAGCCTAGCAGTCCTCACCTTGCACACGCCAGGATCCCAAATGGCACCAGCTTTAACCTTGGCAGCCCCAGTCTGCCATTGTCTGTATCAGCAATGTCAGGAAACACTTCAGTAACAGAGTGATGGGCTGCTTATGAAAGATTGCACTATTGTAATGATGTGGAGGAAATCAGTTGGGGGAGGGGGCTTGAGGAGGGGAATAAGGGAAATTCCAAACCTTATGGAATTGTACCATAAAATTGAAGATAGAAGATAAAAATGTCAAGTAGTTGCATTAAAAAAGAAAACTGCAGGTAATTTTTTTTTTAAGTTTTTCTGAGTGAGGGTGAAAGAGTGAACACCCATCCACTGGCTTACTCCCCAAACGCTCACAACAGCTCGAGCTAGGAGCCACTAACCCCATTCAGGACTCCCACACTGGTGGCAGGAACCCATCTCTACTGCCCTTCCAGGGCCTGTGTGAGTGGGAAACTGGAGCAGAGTTGGGACACGAATCTAGAGATAGTGACATAGGATGCAAATGTCCCAATGGCATCTTAACCACGAGGCCCAATGCCCACCCCTAAAGCTTTACTAAGCATTCAGATTGGGTTTTTTTTTTTCCATAGGTTCAGCCTCCTGCATGACAGCAGGTCTCACTGGAGTTGACGACTCCCCTGTAAGAACTCCTCCTGCAAAGCCACTGCACAGGCCCTGCTAGCCACGCTGACGGGGGCCGAGCCCCGGCACTGCCACCCCCTGCCAGCTCCCAGCGCACCTTGCCACGTTGTTGGTGATGTCTTGCACCTCCCTGATGAGTCGGTATTGGGCCACGTCACGACACAGCTCCACGTTAGGCCGGTGCGTCCTGGTCTCCAGGCGCGTGTGAGCCACTTTGGCAGGTCCCTCTTGGTCCAGGATGGCTTTCTCAAGCACTGTAACATTCTTCTCTTGGGACGCAATCTCTTCCATGACCTTACAAAAAGGATTGGAGTAGGTGAGCCGGAGGCACCCCTCAGAACTCCGCAGCAGGTCTAGCCTACATGCGGAAGTGAGGAAGAGCAGACCTCGGACTTTTCCTGAAGCAGGAACTCAGGGATTACTACTGGTCAACGTTGTCCACCCAACCTTAGAACCTCCCAGATGGAATGCATGGGACTGACCATTGTTGCCTTGTCTCCTACACAGATAAGAGGCCCTTGCTCACACAGAGTTCAACAACCCCCACTGACCTCACTGCAAAGCACATTCACAGCCAGAGCAGACAGCTGTCTGTATCCTTACCATTCCCACCCACCAGTGCCTGTTCTGGCTTCTGGAAACCTGGAGAAACACTCGGACTACCCCCAATGAGTCTGACTGGCATTTTAAAAAGCTATTTGGAAGCAAAGAGAAAGATCTCTCATCTGCTGGTTCACTCCCCAAACACCCACCGACAGCCAGGGCTGGACCAGGCCGAGTCTAAGCGCTTCAGTAGTTGAGCTGTCACCTGCCACCCCCTAGGGGTATCTATCAGCAGGAGTCTGGAGCCAGGTGGGGACCTGAACCGTGGCACTTGGACATGGGATGTGGGCACCCCAACTGGTGTCTTCACTGCTACACCAGACCTTGACCTTTGGTTGGTATTTTTTGAGGATGGTTTTATGTTGAAAAAAGATTACTTATAAGTTACTTGGGTATTTTGGATTGAGGTGTAGTTAAATCTCCTTAAACCTATTAACTCTGCACCATGGAAATCTCCAAGTATGCACAAACACAGGAAGAACAATGGCCCTCACGTCCCCGTCCACCTCAGTAACGAGCAAGACATGGCCAGTCCTACGTCATCTGCACCCCCTCCCTACCCCTGCCTGTTGGCTCAATTATTTTGGAGCAAGACTCAAACATACTAGTCCAGTCTCAAAGATTCTCTTTTAGTGACATAACTACAACTCGTTTATTATTCCACAGAGAACAGGGATGGGGAGGGAGAGGACTTCTGAATATCACTTTAGACTTATTTTTTTCTTTTTTTTTAAGAGTTGCCTTGTTCAAATTAGAACCCAAGGCAGGTTCATCCGTGCATTGTATTTGGTTTTCTTGAGCTTCTTATTAACATTCCTTAAGCTTTTCTTGGGTCTAGTTCCTAAGACACTAGACTTTTTAAATTTAGCAAATATTAACAATCAGTTCAGACTGATGTTGGTAGTTGTTCCTACTTCAAGCTTCACTGAGATGCTCTGAACACTTAGTTACAGCAGCACTTGTAAGCCTGGCGCATAATGTTGAATCACCAAGCAGTACCTTCTATGCTTCTTAAATCAATCTTGCCAACTTAATAAACAAGGGCAAAGGATGACTCTCAAGCTCTTATCTTGATGTCCCACATATTAAGTCTTCAACTTGAATAAAATTTCAACTTAAAATCATAGGGCTAAATCCATTATCCAATAAGTTTAAACTACATTTTTAATACAGATGTGTTAAAACTTATTGGCAGGACAGGAATCAGCTGCCTATGGCCTGTGGGCCAGGTCTAGTCAGCCACCTGTTTTTGGACAGCCTATGCAATAAGAAATGTTTTAGGGTCCAGCATGGTAGCCTAGTAACTAAAGTCATTGCCTTGGACATGCTGGGATCCCATATGGGTGCTGGTTCTAATACTGGCAAACCCACTTTCCATCCAGCTCCTTGCTTGTGGCCTGAGAAAGCAGTTGAGGATGGCCCTTGGGACCCTGCACCTGCGTGGAAGACCTGGAGGAAGCTCCTGGCTCCTGGCTTTGGACTGGCACAACTCTGGTTATTGTGGCTGTTTAGGGAGTGAACTAGTGCATGGAAGATCTCTCTTAACTCTTTCAAATAAAAGTAAATATTTGAAAAAAAAGTGGGGGAGGATAATCTCAACTTTGCTTCATGGCCCACAAAATCTACAATATTCACTACCTGACCTTTTGTGTTAAAATTAAATACAGCCATGTTTAAGACAGCCTAAGTCCATGGGGGTTAAAAAGGTGACCTGCCACAGCCCCTATGGTGGAGGTTGTCTTTGGTGCCTCACGACCAGGGAGGTTCCACCAATGGACCATTTTCTCATGGAACCCCGTGGGTGGAGAGTCCCCCGGTTCAAGTTCACGTTCTCCTTCATCTTCCCCTCCCATGCTCACCACCCTGAAGCCAGGTGCCTAAGCCCCGCCGCTGGATCTTGAAATGGTTCTGAAGGCACCAGGACGACTTCCCCATGGGTCCTTGAGGCCTCAGAACCAGACCCTGCCGGCCTTGCACGCGCTATCTGCCACCCTCCTGAATGTGAGGATGCTTCAAGTTAAATTTTGGTTCTCGGACCCTGTGTGGTGGCGTAGTGCTTAAGGTCCTTGCCTTGCACACCCTGGATCCCACTGGGTGCCAGTTCTGGTCCCGGCTGCTCCATTTCCCTTCCAGCTCCCTGCTTGTGGCCTGGGAAAGCGGTCGAGGACGGCCCAAAGCCTTGGGACCCTGCCCCCGCGTGAGAGACCTGGAGGAAACTCCTGGATCCTGGCTTCCAATTGGCTCAGCTCCAGCCGTTGCGGCCACCTGGGGAGTGAACCATCAGATAGAAGATCTTCCTCTCTGTCTCTCCTCCTCTCTGTATATCTGACTTTTCAATAAAAACAAATAAATAACTTTTGGTTCTCCTGTGTGGTTCCATCCATCTGATTCGTAAGCACCATCTCGAAGCCCGCCCCACCAATACGAAGCTTCTCCACCCTTATTGAAAGAGGTGCCATTGCCCCGAAGCTGTGGCCAAGGGGTGGAGAGAGGGCACGCAGGGAGTGGGGGCAGATCCCACATGGCTCCTGAACTTGTGAAACATGCCTAGGCCCAACGGCCTTAGAGTCAGATTTGTGTCAGACTCAAAGCCTTAGTGAAAACGACAAAGAATGGAAGTTGTCACTAATTCTTTGTGTTGATGCTACAGGCAAGTGGCTGCTAGCACAGGTCTTAGTCTTGGAGCAGTCAGATGTGGGCTGACCGCTGTCATGTTGGGAGCTATCATTATGGGGTGACAGCTGAGGGAGGAGAGCAGGAGGGATGTGTTTATGTCTCCCCTACCCCGTCATGTCTCCCTCATTCCTCTGGACTCCATTCTCCAGGCTGTCAGAGCTGCCCAGGGCACTGGGAGGAGAGGGGTTGAGAGGTCATGCTGGAGCTGTGATTGTGACAGCTGGAAATTACACCTTGGACATACACCACAGAAAGCCGGAGCTGCAGTGAAATAGGGGCTGGGCTACCGGCATACCATGACATAAAGTGGGAGGGAAAACAGGCCAGGGTCCCAAAGTGGCAGCTGGGTCTGGAGAAATGAATTACAGCAACAAGTCCAGACCAGCTGACCCGTCTGCACCTGTCATCTGAGGACATGCAGAGAGAACGGGACCCCCTAACATCAGACCCCGTGCCTCCCGGCTTCTACCTCAGGGCCCTGCCCTCTGCAGCAAAAACAAAGGTTGTGGGGTGTGTGGCAGTGTCCAACTGCAGCCCCTAAAACCTGTAGCGAAGACGGAGACATGCAGCCACCCCCACCCGGAGGCACTGATGACCCAAACCCAGAGGGCACCCCCACCTCCCACGAGGGGACCTCACCACTCTGTGCTCCCCTGGCCCCACACCCCAGGACTCACCTTGGTCAGGTGAAGTGCCAGCTTGTCACGGGCATCCTTGATCTGCTTCAGCCCATTCCTGAAGGCCGTGTCTACCACACGGCACTGCCTGCTCAGGTCATCGGCCGTCTGGGTCAGGATCCGGTCCACCAGGGCCTTCAGCGCCATGGAGTTGTTCCGCTGCTTGTCGGCTTTCTCCACGTTGGTGTTGGAGAAATCCAGCCAGTCATCTAGGCTCACGGAGCTGCAACGGCCCCACACGCGCTCAATCACGGGCCGGCCTGGCACAGCACGGCCTGCCGGGCTGGGGAAGGGCATGCAGGGGGCAAGGCACAGGCTTCCGGAAATTCACTGCAAGGAACTGAACTGATGCCGGAACCCCAGCCAGGACACTCCTACCCCAGAGATGAGGGTCCCATGCCAGTAGCCCATATCAGAAAGCCAGTTTGAGTCTCAGCTATTCTGCTTCTTATCCAGCTCTCTGCCAATGGGCCTTAGGGAAGGCAGCAGGGGATGGCCCAAGTGCTTAGTCACCTGCACCCACATGGGGGACCCCGACGGAGCTCTGGGCTCCTGGCTTTGGCCTGCCCCAAGAAGTCCTGAGTGTTACTGGCATTTGGGGATTAAACCGGTAGATGGAAGAAAAATTTCTATCTGCCTTTCAAATAATTTTTTTTTCTAAAATGATGCAGGGTGGATAATTTTTGCAGACTAAGCAAGTGACTTGTGTGAGTACACACCTGTTAGTATGAGCATGCGGGGAACACCAGGTATCTCGGGGCATACATGGTGTGATGTAGCTGGGGAATGTGTGACTTGCCTTGAATGTCTTATTTGTCTACTTCGTAAAAACATAAATTGATGAAGGGATAACTTCTGAACAGTTAGAGGTTTTCTATCGTGGGGTCCCCTGTCTGGGAAGGGGCAGTTCAGCACCTGCTTGGGGCCCCCGCAGGTGGCTCCTGGCTCAGCACCTGCTTGGGGCCCCCGCAGGTGGCTCCTGGCTCAGCACCTGCTTGGGGCCCACACAGGTGGCTCCTGGCTCAGCACCTGCTTGGGGCCCCCGCAGGTGGCTCCTGGCTCAGCACCTGCTTGGGGCCCACACAGGTGGCTCCTGGCTCCCAGTCGGCAGCGAGGAGGCTATGTGGGCTCATCACCCGTAGGGAGGAGCCCCATTACTCACTTGGGTTCGATCCTGACTGCGTTGTCAGAGTAGCGAATGCTGGGTGAATTGTTGTTGAGTGAGAAGCAGATGTCGTCGATGGTCAGGGCCACGAACTTGTCCTTCAGGTCCTTCTCCAGGTTGTACTTGGCCGAACGGTTCAGCCTGAGGGAGGTGGGGAGAGAGGGTCCTCCTTCTGGGCTGTCCTGTTCTTGTTGGGGGCAGCCCTCCGGCCCCGGGGTCTCCCGCCCCCACACGGCCCCTGGGGATGCCTGATGACAAGGACCAAGCCAGTTTGTCAGCCGAGGACATCGGCTCTACCCGCGTCCGCCACCAGAGGGCACCGGCCTTTCCTAGCACCCTGCTGCACCTGATCTGCTCGGTGACCTGCTCCAGGGTGCGTGTCAGCAGGGCCAGGACACCCCGGATGATCTCGGCCTCCTTCAGCAGCTCCTGCTCCACCTCGTCCTGCACCAGGTCGATCCCCACGCGCTTCTCCCTGGCGGGGAGGTGTCAGACAGTCACAGCCTGAATCCCACCTGCTCCACGTGGGTGCTGCGGGATGTGCAGCGGCTGGGACTGTGCCACATGGAAACATCCAGATCATGGCGAGCTGGAGCCCCCTGCGGACAGGTGACTTGGTAGGGAAATGCCAGGTGGGCCTCTGCCAGCTTTGCTGGACCTTCTGGTCTGCAGTCTGTACTGTGGGAGCATTAATTCCAAAGAAGGTGTTTTCTTCCTTTGTTCTAATCCTGTTTGTCCTAGAAGGCCTTGAATCCAGCATACCTGCTTTGGTCCGCTCTGTTAGGCTGTGTCTGCCTTGTGTGACAGCCCTTGGGCGGAAGGCTCCCCTACCTGCCAGCCTCCTGTACTCAGGCATGTTACCTCGCTAAGGTATTTCCTCTGAGTTGTTTTTCTCTCTGACCAATGGGCAGGAATTGCCAGTTCTTCAGAGTGCAGCAAGGAACAAGTAAGATGGGAAAACATAAGGTGCAGTGCCTAGCATGCAGCACGCATTCAGTAAACTTCACCTCTCCACTGTAACTCCCCTGAACCTGAACCTGTCCCAGCTGCTGCTGGCCTCCCGGAATGGCCACTACTACTCGGCTTCACACACTCTCTCCACCCGGCTGGGCAGGGGGTCCCTGGAGGGAACAGGACACTAGCAAGACTGCCCACCCAAGCACATCACGTTCCTGGGAACACTAGGTGACACGAGAGCCCACAGAGGCCACGGAGGTGGACCCTGTTGGTGAGGCTAGGAGGTTTGAACTTGGTCCCCCAGTTCCCAGGGATGGTGTGCTTGTTAAAAACTGTCACCCATGAGAGTGACCTCTGGGAATTGCATCTGGAAGAGTTACCTCAACAACCAGTGTGACAGGTGCACGGGTCAGAGGGGCTGTGCTGGCAGCGGGCGGGGAGGGAGGCTAGGACAGGGGACAGGCGTGCAGCACAGGGGAGCAACCCCTGTTGGTGGGAGGACTTATGGCAGGAACGTCACCCTAAGGTGTGGCGTACTCTGACCACAGCCTCACAGCCGTGTGGCTCTGTGTATCAGAGCTGACTGAGGCAGAAAATTCAACAAGTTCATAGAAAACAGAATTAAAGAGATATTTGTGATATTTTAGGGGGATGCTGGCATTGTGGTGCAGCAAGTTAAGCCACTCTCTGAGATGCCGGAATCCCTTAAGAGCAAAGGTTTTCGCGCCAGCTGCTCTGTTTTCTGTCTAGTTCCCAGCTAATGCACTTGAGAAAGCAATGGAAGATGCTTCAAGGACTGGGATCCCTGCACCCTTGTGGGAGACCTGATGGAGTTTCAGGCTCCTGGCTTCAACCTGCCCAGGCCCCATCCACTATAGTCAGGGAGTGAACCAATGGATGGAAGATCTCTATGTGTTTCTGTTACTTTTTTTTTTTAAAGATTTATGTAATTTGAAATTGAGAAACATAGATTTGTCCTCTGCTGGTTCATTCCCCAAATGACCACAATGCTCAGCGATGGGCCAACGTCGGGAGCTTCAGCTGACTCTTCTACGCAGGTGACAGGGGCCCAAACACTTGGGCCACTCTCCCCTGATTTCCAAGGACTTTAGCAGGGAGCTGGATCTGAAGTGGAGCAGCCAGGACACAAACCAATACGCATATGAGATGCCTGGCTTGCAAACGGTGTCTGTACCCGCTGTTGCCACAACTCCAGCCTTGTCCGTTTGCCTTTCAGGTAAGTAAAATCTTTGTTTAAAGATGTTTAACTGATGCAAAGGAATATTTGAAATCTGTGGGAGTAAAAGTTGCATATAGCACAGCAGCAAAAGCAAAAAAGCCTGGAGCCCAAAACTGTGGTACCTTGTGCCAGGCGGAAGTGAAAGTTTCTGGATTCCCTGAATGTTTGAGGGGGAGAGAAACTCCTTCAGCCTAGTGTTGTCTTGCCATTTTCTGATAGTCACAACCGAAACTAGTCCCCGGTATCATTTCAGAGCAAAGCGTAGGCAAGAGTCAGCCCACTGCTCCTCCCACGCCCAGTGCCTGGGACCTGCTGGAATGGGACACCCCTGCAGTGGGTGCTGACATGCAGTGGGCTTAGCTACCACTTGAGGCACCAGCATGCCATATCCCTTAGTGGAATGCTGGATTCGAGTTCTGGCTACTTCTTTCTTCCAATCCAGCTCCCTACCTGGGAGGCAGCCGAGGATAGCCTAAATGTGTGGGTCCCTGACGCTCATGTAGGAGGCCCAGATGGAGCGGCTGGCCCAGACCTGGCTGTTGTAGCCTTATGGGAAGTGAGCCAGGAGACGCAGTCCACGTCTCTCTGTGTCACAGTGCTTTCCAAAGAAATAAGTCAATACTTTAAAAATAATAATAATTAATTGAAAAAGCACATGCTGGTAGCCTTGTCCTATGCAACAGTGCCTGCACAGCCAGCCTTGTCCCTGCCCTGTCCCTGCTCTGCCCACACTGTCCCTGCACTGCCCACACTGTCCCTGCCCTACCCACACTGTGCGTGCACTCTCCCAGCCCACACAGTCCCTGTACTGTCCCTGCTCTGCCCACACTGTCCCTGCTCTGCCCACACAGTCCCTGTACTGTCCCGGCTCTGCCCACACTGTCCTGGCCCTGTCGCTGCACCGCCCCGTGCTGTGTCCCCTACCTGTAGATGAGGCACCTCTCGGTGATGCGCAGGGGCTCCTTGAAGTCCTCCAGGGCTTTGTCCAGCCGGCTCTTGTACGTGAGCAGATCCTCCGTCTCGTACACGAGCTGCTCGAGTTTCCCGTCTAACTCCTTCTTCCAGAACCGGACTTCCTCGAGTCGCTGCTCTAGAACATGCAGAGAAGTGAGTCCTGGGGCAACCAGCTCCCAGATCCGATCCTGGAGGGTGGTCGTTAACCCCCACCATCCGGCTCCTCTCTCCCCTGTGGAGCTGCACTGCTAAGGTACCTGCTGTCCCAGTGGGTGTTTACTGAAGCAGTGGAATGGAGCTAATGTTCAACATCAAGTCTAGCTTTCCGGGGCCAGGGCCATGGTTCAACAGGCTAATCCTCCACCTTCGGGTGCTGGCAAGCCATACGTGAGTTGGTTCTTGTCTTAGCTGCTCCACTACCTAGAACTCCCTGCCTCTCGTGTGACCTTACACATAGACCCTGGAGAACACACGTCTTTCCCCCGAGGTTTTGACGACGCATACTGACGCACCCGAACACGATGCTAAAGCGAAACCTGCCCCCAGCAGCTGGTCTTACCGAGTTTCTTGTTCACGTCGCTTTGAGACTTTCTGGTGGTCTTCTCGATGTCCTCCACAAGCCTCTGGCTCTCGGCCACCAGGCGCTCGGATCGGGACCGCTGGGCCTCAGCCCTGTGGTACTGGTTCTTGTTAGCCACATGCCACTCTGAGGGCAGGAACTTAGGCGGAGTCTGCAGTAGCTTGGCCATCTGGGGTTTCCAACGACCTGGTCAAAGGCAAACAGTTTTCAGGTTCAGTGATGGAGAAAGCGAGGGAGAGATCATGCATGCCTGCGCATCCTGGATCTGCTCCCCAAGCGCCCTGGAGCACTGCGGCCGGGCAAGCCACTCTCCGGAACCAGGAGCTCGACCCACGTCCCTTTCTCATAGAGCTGACCCAAAGCCAGGAGCTGGAACTCACTACGTGTTGCTTCTCGGGATGCAGATGGACAGGAAGCTGGAGTCGGGAACCCCGACTGGGCATCCAACCCAGGGGTTCCAGCTTGAGACACAGGCGTGTTAACCACGCGACCCGTGTGTCAGCCCCAATTTGTCTTTTTCTTTAACTGTCAAGTCCTGCTCCAGTGTGGCGCGCTGAGCAGCACACGAGTTCTGAGCTGTGTACAAAATGAACCTAGCTGGGTAGCAGCCAGCAGCCAGATCAAGGAAGGGGTTACCAGCACCTGAGGCCTCCCCCATGGCCGAGCGCCACACAGAGTCCTCCAGCAGAGACCCGTCCTGGCTGTTTGTTCTTTCACTTGCTGAGACAGCTGTGCCCGGTGCCACCGCATGAGCAAGCCACCAGTCCTTTCTCCTGTTGGCAGGCGTTCAGGTTACCTCGGTGGGAACATGTAATGTCCTCCTAAGGTGGCTTTTGGGGAACTCCTGTCCGCATGCGTGTGATTTGTTAGAGTTGTACCTCACAGTGTGGATGTGCTGCTGAACCCCGACAGGTCACCGCTCCTCCCGCGGGTCCTACCCTTCCCTGCTCCCATCCTGACAGCCAGGGGAGAGAGCTGGGATCCACCGTGACTCAGCCGAGCAAACCCTATTCCCCTCAAAACCCTGGGCTCAGCCCTGAGCCTTCCAAGACCCGGCCCTCCTATGGCCTCTGGCAAGCTGGTGTGAGCAGGAGGCTCCCGGGTAAGTGGGACGGAGTACCCCTTAGAGAGACGGGTCCCAAATCCTGGCTAATGCTTGTGAGACCAAGACTGGAGGGAAACGCGGAGGGCCACGGCCAGGGGTTGGTGGGCTGGGGCTCTGCTTACCTCTGCGCTGCGAGTAACTACAAGCTCGGAATGCAGCTTCCTTTACCCGCGCGGGCGCTCCGAACTTTTGGAAACAGTGGTCTCCATGACAACCAAAGACGCCTCGTCAGAATCAAAGGGGCGGGTCCTACGGAGGGCGGGCTTGCAGGAGGCTTTGCGCACGCGCCTGTTTGGTGCTGGGGATGTGGTGACCTGACCTGGGGGCTGGATGCGGGCGCAGGTGCCCACGCCCTCTCCACGCGGGACACCCAGCAGGTGTCAGGATAGGAGTCGAGAGACGTGCAAATGGGCTCAACCCTGCGATAGAGGCCTCCTCGGCCACACTGCCACCCCTGCGTCCCTGACTCCCCAGGTGTGGGGGGTGGAGTGGGGGTGGGTGTTGCTGGGGGGGGGGGGCAAGTTGCAGGTTGAGGAGGTGCGCAAGTCCTCGCGGTGTATGGAACAGGCCCGTGGGTGTGGGGTGCTTGAGGCGAGCCCTCCAGCCTGCGCCTCAGACCCTCACTGGGTAACAGGAGCCGACTTGGGGTCCTCCCCACTTACTCTCAGTTTGTTCATCTTTAACGTGAGCACTCGGGGCAGGGGAGGGGGAGGCGGAACAGGTTAATCCTTCACCTCCAAGCGCGACATCGCATCCGGATGATGGTTCATGTCCCAGCTGCTCCGCTTCCCATTCTGCTCCCTGCTTATGGCCTTGGGACCCTGCACCTGTGTGGGAGAGCCAGAAGAAGCTCCTGACTTCAGTGCAGCTCAGCTCTGGCCGTTGTGGCCTTTGGGGGAATGAACTAGCAAATGGAAGACTTCTCTCTGTCTCTCCTCTGTAAAAATCTGCCTTTCAAACAGAAAGTAATAAATGAATCTTTAATACAGAGATGGGCACACAGCATACACCTTCTGTCTGTCTTTATCATTAGGAACCACCAGGGGGCTCCACCAGCCCAAACACCAAATCCAATTTTCTCACTTCCCAGAGACCTCACTCTAAACGCCACAATTGGGAACGTTTCCACTTGGTGTTTCCTCCTCCTCCTTTAAGACTTATTTGAAAAACAGAGTTAGAGTGAGAGGGAGAGATAGAGAAGGCAGTCTTTCATTGCCGGTTCACCCCCAGATGGCTGCAACAGCCAAAGCTGAGCCAGACCAGAACCAGAAGCTTCCTCTGCCTCTCCCATGTGGGTGCAGGGGCCCCAGCACTTGGGCCATCCTCCACTGCTTTCCCAGGCACTTTAACAGGCAGCCGGGATTTGAACCTGCATTCATGGGATGCCCATGCTGCAGGTGGCAGGTTTACCTCGTATGCCACAGCACCGGCCCGTGAAGTTCATAATTAGCAGGTTTTATCACAGTAATGTTACCCTGAGGTATAGTCTGCCATTCTTTGTGGTGGCTTCATTGAGCTCAGAATCAGAAGGCCCAGTTTCTAAAGGCAGGAGGGGGTAGTGGACCCTGGGAAAAGCCAGGCATTGGAGCACGTGTTTGATCCCTGACGTTGTGATGAGAATCTTAAGATTAGACCCAGAGGGCGTCTGGCACGCATCTGGGACAGTGCCAGGTCCCAGGAGGCAGGGGGCCTTAGCTCAAGTTCCAGTTCTCCTTCCCCGTCCCAGCGCCTAGCAAAGGCACAGCCTGGGAGGTGGCAGGTGCGGGCTCCCGTAGCTGGGTCCCAGCCACCCACGTGGGAGACCCAGACGGACGTCCAGGCTCCCAGCTTTGGCCTGGCCCAAACTCCACAATGGGGAGGGAACAAGCAGGTGGAAGATCTCTCTGTCACGATCTCTCTGCTCTTCAAATATTTTTTTAAGCTGTGATTGTGTAATCACTGTTACAAAATGAGTGTGTAATGGCTCTGGGATAAGGAGTGTATGTTGATCCCGCGTCGGTCCTTGCCTTACATGTCAATAAAGGGCTTACTCATCACGTAAACCACAACCGCTTCTTAATGTTGTGTTTAAAAGTGTAGTTGAGGATTCTAAACATATGTGCGTTGTTTGAAAACACCCATCAAACAGGACAGATGCTGAAAAGTGTAAATATTTTTCTTCCACTTTTATGATCCGGCAAGGCCGGGCTTCTGCTGATAGTTTGGGTGACGTCAGCCTGAGACCCCCTGCAGTGCTTCTCAGAAATCCACTTGGACTCCCTGATGGGGGTGCCTGGCCTGCTGAAGGCTGGGGGGTCCCAGGGCACCGCCCCTGCCGCCCACCCCCCGCCTGCCAAGCTGCTGAAACAGAAGCTGAGCTGGGGAAACGCTGCGTCGTCAGGGCCCCATGCCCACTGCACCCCATCAGTGGTCTTCCCTGGTGGCTCACCTTTCCACAGGAAACGGAATGTTAAATCTGAAGATTGTCCTTGCGCTTGGACCCGTGCCCTCTGCTGATCTGACACAAGAATAGCTTTTTGTACTGTGGCTGCCCTTCTGTTGAATAGACCCCTTGTGTTTTAGGGAGCAGACGCGGAGTGCCCTGTGGCTCACCCATCACCACTGGCCCCGGGTACCCTGAGGATAAGCCAGCTTAGATTTCACCCTAGGGGAGGAACATTTCAGAGGAGCATAAAGCCGCCTGAAAGTCAAGAAGGTGGAGAGTGCACGGAGCTCTTTGTGTGGCCGGCTTGTCTTCTGTCATCTGTCAGGCACAGTGGCTGAAGCTGCTGGCTCAGGTGTGGTAGGAAGACTGAAGGCTGAGGCACCTCCCATCCCGGAGGTGGGATGCAGGCTGCCGCCCACTTGCCGCACCTGTCATCATCACCTCCACACCCAGCCTCAAAGGGAAGCGAAAGCTCATCCTCTGCTCTCCCAGGGCCCCTGTATGGTCCTGTGGATGAAAGCAGCGACAGATTTGCAGAAGAGGCACGCAGCTGTTGTGGGCATTCCTATGATTACATGCGTGGGAACGTCCCCAAGAGAAATGAAGACTCGGTGGTTAGATTTGATCGTTCACGTACCACTTGAACGATACATGATCATTTATGAAGAAATAGCCAGTTGGGCTCATGGGAGTGACAGATGGCTGGGGAAGCCCCTAAGCTGAGAGAGATGTTTCTGCAAGGAAAGAGAAGCGCTGTTTCCACTACGGTCTGTGTAGGAGAACCTTGTTAGAACTTGCTTCAGTGTGACCCCTCCTCACTAACAGTGTGACCTCGTGTCCTCTTCCTGGTCAAGAGGGGCGTATTTCCAGAGGAAATGTGTGTCCTGCTTTTCAGCAAATGAGCAGAGAACTTCCCCCACCTGCTGCTCTTCCCTTGATGGCTCGGCAGAGCCCCAGGATGTGGTGCATTTGGGTAGGATAATCTGATCCCCTTTGGCAGGTCTGGCTGGAGAGAGGTTGGCACAGAAGGACAATTCTAAGCCATTTCTTTGGGATCTATGCCCCCCCACCCCCAGTGGAACCTGCTGTCCTCACCAGGCCTGAGTTTCTGAATCCTAATGTGAAAGTAGACTCCAGGTTTTTTTTAAGGATTTATTTCGTAAAAATATTTCTTTTTATTGGAAAGTCAGATTTACAGAAAGAAGGAGAGAGAGAAAGACCTTCCATCCACTGGTTCACTCCCCAAGTGGCTGCAATGGCCAGAGCTGTGCTGATCCGAAGCCAGGATTGCAGGGCTTCTTCCAGGTCTCCCACGTGGGTTCAGAGTCCCAAAGCTTTGGGTCATCCCCTACTGCCCTCCCAGGCTACAAGCAGGGAGCTGGATGGGAAGTGGAGGAGCTGCAATACGAACCAGTGCCCATATGGGATCCCGGCACATGCAAGGCAAGGACTTTAGCCACTAGGCTACCACACCAGCCTGGAAAGGCAGATTTTACAGAGAGAGAAGGAGAGACAGAATCTTCCACCCACTGGTTCGCTTCCCAAATCACTATAATGACCAGAACTGAACCACTCCAACGCCAGTAGCCAGGAGCTTCTTTTGGGTCTCTCACAGGATCTCAAGGATTTGGGTCATCTA